TATATTTTCTGTCTGCAATTTGTGTGTGTGTGGGGGTGTGTGTGTGTGTTTAGAGCTTCCTAGCCAGTTAAAGTAATTATTAGTCTCATCGTTTTGTTTTATTTAAGCTACTTGTTTTGTGATAGAGTTAAATAACTCTTGACTTGTCAAAGTACAAGAAAAGATGTTTTGCCTAGGGCATTGTGTTTTCTAGTAGAAATAATATACGAAAAATGTAGATGCTTTATTTCTGAATTGGTGATGAGCAGCAGAATATGAGATAGTGGTTTTTAGTTTTAGGGAAGAGCAAATTTTATTTACTGAATCCAATGTTAGACCAAAATGGTATGTTTAATATGGTTATTCTTTTAGAAAATGGTAAAAACTCTGGAGCCAGTTATAACTCTTTATACTGCTTGTTTGGCATAAAAATAAAAGTTAAATTAAAAAGGGAACAAAGAACAAACCAAAGTAAAAATAGCTTAAAATGTTCCTGTAAATAAACATACTCTGACATTCCTTATAGTGAAACCATTTCCCTCATTGTTTAATAACATATATTCTTGCTATTGGACTTTCAGTACCATTTTCCTTCTATAGTAGGGAAGGATTTTGGCACCAAAGAACAGACCTCTTCATAAACATTTATGTGAATCAAACAAGGAAAAGAGAGGATATTACAAAGACAAAAGATGATCTCAGAAGGCTCAAGGGTTTTGAATGGCCCATGATGCCTAAGGAAAAAAAAGAGTAAAGTGAATTTATTAAGGTTGTGGTCAGGATATGATACCTGCAAGATAATCAAAGTTTTATGCTATCAAACTCGTCAATCCCTCATATCATCTTCTGTATAATAGTCTCCCAAAAGAGAGTCTCCTTTTAAATCCCATGACCAATTTTTGCTAAATTCAATGAAAAGAGGGAGTGAAATGGGGAAAATATGCTGGTATACATATATAAATTCAAATCGTGGTCAGTAAACATTTAAACATGGCTATATGTGCAAGATTACTGTCCCGTAGTTATCCATATTAAAAGGATAAGTGAGACACGATTCCTGTCTTCAAAGAACAGATAAAGTTATAAATGGTATTGCAATATAATGTTAAATCAGCTAGAATGGCCGCAGGAGAAAGGAGAATTACAACTCAGAGGATAGGAAGCCCTTGTATATATACTAAGTGACTTTTGAGATAGTCTTTAAAGGAAGAGAAGGTAATCAAAAGATCTAGAGATAGGTGAGTTGGCATAACAGTTGGGGAAAGACAAATTAAGCAATAGTCTGCAGTAATGAAAGCTGTATAATCAAACTCTGGTAATTCCGTATGGCTGAATGGGATGTTTATGTGAGCAGGTTAGTGTGACATGAAATTCTAAGATGCATATAGTGAGAGGCAGGACATTGTTACTAATTGAGTCATATTGTTTCTCCTCTGGTTTTCTAATTTGAGGGTTCAGATCTATTGTAAAGATAATATCTTACCCTCTAAATAGGGTAGCTGGATATTCTGGGCACATTAAAACAAACTATACTATTCACAAATGTTCAAAAAATGTTGGAGCAAGAATATTTTAAATGTGAGCCTAGAGTGTAATTTGTTGATACATAAATATTATTTTCACCCATATATAAATGGAGATGTCTCAAATCAAATTGTAATCTTGTAAGATTTTAATTTTTAAATTTTCTATTGCATTACAAAACACTGAAATTCAGAATAAACCAGGCTTTCAAATCATTGGGAGAAGCACACATTCACAGTGGAAAGAAGGAAAGAGAAAAATCAGAAATCTTTATCATTCTGTATTGTTAAGGAGCTACAAAAATAACATGTAATAGCAGAATTTTTAACTTAATTAACAACTATTGACTTCTCTTAATTAATAAATATTGACTCCTTCGAGTTGTAACATAAGTACAAAATTATTGAAATCAACATACTATTTAATAAATATACTTACTAAAAGTCATCAGAAGTTCATCTCCCAACACATGGATATATTAATTATATTTTACTGAGTTTTAGGAAAAGTATTTCCTTTCGGAAAGATCTTAAATCCAATCTCTCTGAGCCTCATACTATTGCATTTAAATAGAAGTAAACATATTTACCATATGTCCCATGGTAAAAATTCACAACAAAATAGCACTTTTTGGGTACCTAATCTAATAAGTACTCTACAAATGGGTATAATTGTTAAGATATAAATCTTTACTTCAAATCCTATTATTGGATGTTTAACTAACTTAGAGATAGAATCAACATTTCTTATGCATCAATCTACATTAACCCTCATTCATTCATCAGAATCAGCCAGCCCCCTGGGTAAGACTCACTTCTACTTTTGTTAACGTTATTTTATTTATTTATTTATTTATTTATTTATTTAACTTTAAGTTCTGGGGTACATGTGCAGATTGTGCAGGTTTGTTATATAGGTATACATGTGTTATACCTTTGTTAACTTTCATTTATTTGTTCTAAAGAACATATAAACATGTGGAAGAAGAGTCTGTCTTACTCTTAAGGTTAATAATAAACATATCTTCCTCTGCAGGCCCTTTACTTCCTAAGCATTGGTTATAAATATTTATGTGGAGTTCAGCAAACAAGGTGAGAACATTGATAGATCCAAGCCTTTATTTACTCTCTTCTTTCAGGCTAAAATACCACCATCACCACCTCATTCTTCATCTCACAAAATTCTTCCAGCCCCAGAATAAATGTTATTTTCTTCAAAAATGTTTATTGTGCACCCAAATCTAAATTACTCACATCTCAAATGAGTCAAAATCCTATAATAATAGAAGTGTGCCAGAGTGCCAGATAAAGTAGAAACGAAATATTTTTCTTTGGTAATAAGAGAAGCATTAATTCAAAAAGTTTATAGGCATGTGACTAAAATACTGATTCTTAACCAGGGGCAATTTTGACCTCTAAAATGTCTAAAGACATTTTAATTGTCACTTTGATTGGGAAAAAAATGTGCTATGGATATATAAAGCGTGAAGGCCAGAGATGTTGTTAAATATGCAATTCACAGTACACTCTCCCACAATAAAGTCTTATCTTGTCCAATTATCAGTAATGCCAAGATTGAGAAACTCTGCTCCGGATCACGATGCCGCTCATTTCCCTTTTCATCACTAAAGACTGAGACTAAAAGTGTGCTATTGGAACAGCTATAGCTCTCTATCATCACAACTGGTCCCAGGAAGTCAAAGGGATATGCAAAACCCCTGTTCTCAGAGGGAGAGTGAAGCAGCCGCAGCAGAGAATAGATTCTGTTGTTGAACTGAAGAGTGTTTTCTACTGTCCTTTTCTGAGTCTGTTGAAGTTAGGAAGACTACGGGGACTTAGGCATATTATGGGATAGAATATTATGATATATGTCCAAGTCCCTGAGATACCAAAGATCACAGCAATTTATAGCTGCAATTCTAAAACTTAAAAAAAAATGTATTTGGCTTCATTTTGGTGACTGACTAATGAAGCAGGACATCCATAATCAATGGATTATAAGAATAACCACTTCTGAGTAGTTACCAGGTGTCAAAAATTTTACATATGCCATTTAATCTTCACAAATATCTGTGAAGCAGGCACTATTATCTGCATTTCACAATACTATGCTTATCTTCATAGTATACATACATTCTCCCATATGTCAGATTAGAATAACACACACACACACACACACACATACGCACACACACACACACACACACACACACACACACACACATACACACACACACCCACTGAATAAAGCCTATAAGCTTTCTCAGTTTTCACATGGTGGGATTCGGTAAGCAGCCTGAGTACAGAGCTTCTGATCTGAATCACTCTCCAGTAGCTCATACACTCTACAAGTGTTTATCAAACACTTGTAGATTAAATGACTTGAATCTACACTTGTAGATTCAATGAGTCATATACTCTATCACTTGGAGAAATTTCAACCAAAAAAAATATGTATGGAGCATGCAGAGTGATACAGACACACCTTAGACCCTGGCCAGCTCACCAGAAAGGTCTCCCCTCTAAGCCTTAACTTAATCCTCTAACCTCAATCCATATATGTTATCAGGCCAAGCAGACTAATTTGTAAACATCAAGTGACTCCATTTCTCAGGGATAGACACAGATTAACCAAGCTTAATGTACTAACTCAGGATAACAATACAATTAGTTTACACTGAGAAAGAGAACTGCATAAAAAAATCACATGCACAATCTCTTCCTGGAGGTTTAAAACAAAAATTGCCAAATTTCAGATTTGAAGGATTCTTGGTGAGCATAAAATTAAAATAGGAGAGTTAATAATAGGAATTCAATATTTAATGTTGTCATATTAAATTAGCCTCAGAGATAGATCATCACAATAGGTTATGATCAAATCTCATAGCAGGGCATCTACTCTGTGTGTAAGATAACTTGTAAGGCAATTTCATCCTGATACATTATACATTAAAGTTACATTTTATCACTGAAGCCTCTCAAATTCTGCTTGTTTTCAGATTATTATTCTAGTTTATTTTGGGGAAAAGTTTGGTTGACAATAAGGCTTTACCATAGCTGTTACTAGTGGTAGATATTTCTGTGTGATATTTATCATTTTGAAGTCCCTATTACAACTGTTATTTCTTTCATAAATTATAATTCACTTAATATTATTATCTATGATTTAAGACTTAGACCACAGATACAGATGTCACATTTCTATAGAATAGGACAAACAGAGTACTGGAACATACTTACTATGATAAGTTTTTAAGCTACATTAATGATGAATAGATGGCATTTGAATAAATTTTTATAAAGCTTTTTGATTTCTAAATAGCAATCCCATCTCAGTTGTCAAATGTATAGTACATAAATTTGAAGGTATTTTCATTACACTGTTATCTATGTCATAAATAATATTTTTAAAATAAATATCATGTCCAGGAGAATGGTGGTTAAGATGATGATGATAATGACTTCATAATTTTCATATTAATGGTTCCTTACCATAAATCTATGACTCAGGTTACTGGCTCCATTCTACAGATGAAGAACCTGTGCTAATTTAAGTTTGATGTTATTCTTCAGATCTGTGAAGTAAATTAAGACAGTGTGTCTGGACTTGAATTTAGGATTTATGATGTTAAAGCCTACATATGTTTCACATTTTGTGTTTCCTGTCTTAAAAATACACAAAAAAACCATTGCTGACTAGTATGTCATATTGTTCTTGAAATATTTTATCAAAACTCTTTGCATCTATAGCTCTTTATATATTCTTTATTTCACAAGAATTTAGCTTATCTTCTATTTTTGTAACATGCAAGTCTAAACAGATTGAATACTGCAATGACATTGAAGTTTACATTACCACTTTTAAGAAACTGAAATCATGTTATGAACTACAGGAAAGAGCATTCCCAAATGTATTTATATAAAAATATGCATACATACATATACATGTTACATACCAGCACATCTAAATATGTGTTTTTAAGTACCAGATTTTCCTGTTAAATTTTGCTCAGGGATGGAATATATGCTCTAATACTTGCTGAGATTAAGAATAAGAAAACTAGAAGACTTAGAAGTTTGTCCATTTGAAACTAGAGGTAGATGGCCTAACTTAGAGAAGCAGTAAGGATGATTATTACATCCCAGAGTTTTTGGTGGTGGGAGAAAAGCAAATTTCAAACATGCTTCACCAGCATGATTTAAACAAAAACACTTATCTGATATCTCACACACCCAATAATAAACAAAAATATAAATTTCATGCTGTCTTAGATACCCAAGAAGCAGACTCTGGGATTATGTGTAGAAAAAGTCTATTGAGGCGTGCTTCTCGGAATCACATGCAGAAAAGTGAGGAAAGAGAGAATTTGAACTGTGATGTTGGGACAATAAAGGCCTCCACTGATCAGGGTATCCAAGTCCAGGTGGCCCTTCAGAGATATCCTAAATGGCAGGCTAAGATTTTCTGTCTTCGGTATTATTCTCAATATTGACCTGAGCAGGGGTTAGCCTTGGGACAGGCAGCTACTTATAGCAGAGGGAAATGTTGGAGAATTCCTGCAGTACATCATGGCATCTACCAGAGTCCATTTTTGTGCAGATCTGGTGTATATGTTTTACACAAATGTAAATCCCATCGAAAAATTTACAGAATGTTGATTGCTCTTTTCCTGAAGAAACTTTCAGGACGAGGGTTAGTGGAAGGCATTATAGCCCCTGACACTTCAACTGTTACAGGACCATAGTTGATAGTTTCCATCACCCTTCACCAGTTTAGTCCTAGTTTACTTTCACTCTCAACTAGGGCCTCAATGGCTAATGTGTTAGGGTGATGTTAACAGTTTGTTTATATTATGCAATTCTCAATTTGTGGCCACTGTGCTTATTCATTTAATATTTTAAAAATCATCAAGGAAATAATAAGAAATGCCGAATCCACTCTTTCTTGCAACTATTTCCAGCCTTTTCTCCTTCTGATCATCATGTCAATTACTCATATGATAGTGGGAACTCTTTCATTGCATAATTGGTACATGGTACAAGGAGCCAAAGTAACTAGGCAGAAGTCAGAGCTTCAATTTAGAGGTTCTTTTGCTGTGTTTCCTGGTAGAAGGCTTTTCTTCCTGGAGCCAAAACCTCTAGATAGGCATATCCTAGATTTGGGGGCGTTAAGAAGCACAAATTTCCAAATGAGTCCGTAGAAATCACAGTAATCAAAGAAACCTAAAGTTGATCCATGCATACTCATATGTTCTATGTTTTTAGGACATAGCAATACAGAATGATCATTGGTTACAGTGTAAATGTAACTGGAAAATGACACTCCATTCTCACAAGTGTCATATCTAAGGAGGCATTGCAGTGGTGTCTTTAAAAACAGATGCTACTTTTCTATCAATCATCAGTCACATTGTGAGTAATATGGTGAATTCTAGGCCCAATGATTTTTTTTTTTTTTTTTTGAGACGGTGTTTCATTCTTATTGCCAGGCTGAGTGCAATGCAATGGTCTCAGTTCACTGCAACCTCTGCCTCTGGGATTGAAGAAGTGATTGTTCTGCCTCAGCCCCCCCAAGTAGCTGGGATCACAGGCATGAGCTACCACGCTTGGCCAGTGATTGTTATGCTAATGTGCCCACATGTTAAAATGAGTTTATACTGAGAAAGAAGACAATAGTGCAACCGTGGTGGTGACACGGGGGTCTGGGCCACCTTCTTCAGTAGCATAGTTTTAAGCTATGACATTTCTTATACTCGTAAGTAGATGTATTGCTTCACTTTCATGATGGATTACTTCTGGGCCTGTCTGATCTAATGGCTTAGATTGTCTGAAAGATGTTAGTTCATAATGGGTGGTTCTGGCAATAAAGTCATGTGATATGCCAAGGCCAGCCACTTTGTCTCTACCAGTACTTAGTTGCATGCTGGTAGATATTTTTAAAATAGTGTATAATTTTTCCGTTGTAGGTGGTATGGATTTATTTCAGTATCCTAAAGGGCTGTGCTGCTATTCTGTTATTGAGAATTGCCTCAAATTCTACCAAAAAATGTCACCTTTTGTCACCACATATGCTTTCAGTACTATGGAGTTTCCTGGGTCATGTGGCCTTAGTAACAGGGCTGCTTGCATCACAGCATGAACTTGCTCTGAGTTCAGATCAAAATATTAACAACTACATCACTTGATAAATGGGACGAAACAATGTTCCAAGCATGAGGTATTCTGGTTCCAGAAATTTAAAATGCCTCTTAGTGATTGTGATTTATTTCACGCAGTGTGAGGCATAAGAACATTAAAGTATATGATTTTCTTTATTTTGAAGTACAAATCTCTACATGCCCCAGACAATTAAACTATTAAAACTTTACCAATGTGTCAGATCCTTGAATTTTCTCACACCTCTACTGAGAGCATTTATCTCACACTCTGCTGAGAGTATTTATCTCACACCTCTACTGGGTGCATGTACACGACATGCCAACTAATGTACACATTAATTCTTACTCTTCTGTTCTGATTAACATATTATCAATACTGTGAACTAATGCGGGTTTCTTCAGTATGTTCATGAGGTCTGGCTCCTTTCAGATTATATTATGACTAACAGAGACAGGGAGATTGAACAAATCTCTAAGGCAAATCTGTGAACACAAATTGCTTTTGGTTCTTTGATAGGAAAAGAACACCTTTACTTGGTTAATTTCTACATATGTGTTACTGAGGCACTGTTACCATATCTGGCACCTATTAGCTACTGTGCCAGATGTGACAAGGTTATCATATCCTATTAGCTACTGTGCCAGACATGATAACCTTATCATTTCTGCTTAAGGATGGGATTTTTAAAAATCTTTGTGAGATGATAACCTTATCATGTCTGGCACAGTAGCTAATAGGTGGGGTTACTATGTGCTTTTGCAGAGTTAATAATATACTATAGTCTTCTGAAATCTATCTGGTTTTTATAAGTGTTTGATAGATCCTTTCACAGATAATAAATTAATTCATGATGTAACATGAATTATGTTTTTAGGTGTTTAAGGGCATTAATTTATGCTTAAGGATGGGATTTTAAAAAATCTTTGTGAGATGATAGTTTGGCAGATTCATATCCTTCTGCTTGACCTCTCCTATATGATAGCTGTTATCTACAGGCCAAGAAGTAAATGTGGGAGGTCTATCAATGACCTTGTATACTCATTCCAATTATACATTTGTGAACAGGAAATGGCCATTGAATGGATCCATGGACATAGTAGAACCAATGATACCTATAATTAAGCTAAGATTCAATTTATCACCTGTTCCAATATGTTTTGACAATAAGAGAGGTGCTAGGATGATTATTTGATACTGCAGAGTTCAATGTCAACTTGGCCTCTGCTTTTCAACAATTCTTGAAACATCTGTGTATTCCCATTTTTCTACAGCATTTTTAACCAAGTGAATGGTCAGTGGGAGGATTAGATGAATCATACCTACATACACTTGTATTACAGTTTCCTTCCTTCTGGAAACTTGGCCTTTCCATGAGTTAGTGCTTTTTCAGGTCTAAAAACTGGCTCAAGTTCAGAATGGAAGAAAGGATAATTATTTTTTATTACAGCAGCTGTCCTCTACCCCTACATCATCCATAATTTATAATTTTGATTATATAGATTGAGCAATAACTTTGTTGGCTGTCCCTTTTTATTATAGTAACCATCTTCATATCTGTCTGCACATCTGTGTCCAGTGGCTGCCATTTTGACCTTGTTGTTGTTATTGATGATAGGACACCACCTGGCCTCTGCTATACTGGGATCTTATCACCCCTTCTTAGTATCAAGAAGTCAGTATAGCAGTATCATCTATTTTATTTATTATTCTTGTATCTTATTAACATTTAATTTCTAGAATTTTAGAAACATTTGTATAGCCTAGAATTAAAATAAGATAAATACAACTTATAATTTTATTATCCACATATGCAGTTCTCACTTCCTTACCCTTATTTTACTATTTAGCCTCTATTATTCCATAAACACTGCTTTGAAAAAGGTCACCAATGATCTCAGTGTTATAAATCTAATGAATTTAAAAATCTTCACATAATCAGACCTTGAAGCAGTGTTGATTATCTTTTTATATTTTATTTTTTTATTTCAATAGGGTTTTGGGGAACAGGTTGTGTTTGGTTACATGACTAAGTTTCTTAGTGGTAATTTCTGAGATTTTGGTGCACACATCACCAGAGCAGTATACCCTGTACCTAATGTGTAGTTTTTTATTCCTTGCCACCCTTGACCCTTTCCCACGAGTTCCCAAAGTCCAATGTATCATTCTTATGCCTCTGCATCCTCATAGCTTAGCTCCCACACATAAATGAGAACATACGATCCTTGGTTGTCCATTCCTGAGTTACTCCACTTAGCATAAATAGTGTCCAATTCCATACAGTTCGCTGCAAATGCTATTATTGTTATTTTTTATGGTCAAGTAGCATTTCATGCTCTGTATGTGTATATATATATGTGTGTGTGTATGATATGTGTATGTATATGTATGACTATATATATATATATATATATATGCA